ATCAATCAATCTAGAGCATACAATGGATTTAATGTTTCTAAAGATAGGCCATTGCCGAAATTATACAGTATATCTCGTAATAATTCTTACAAGCGTCTTAAGCATGTAGAGATCGAGCATGACCCCTTTTCTATACAAGGAAGTTCCATTAAACGAAGTTACACATGTGATGTTTGCTCCTCATTATTAGAGAATTATTTATGAACAAGTGTTCGGCAGATACGGGAAACCTGCTTAACTGCGTCTGAAAGTGATCTGCCAAGAATCAGTGCTGAGTATTTGCAGTGATTTAATAATATTATTAATAATCAGAGGCTAACCTCACAGTGTAACTTCGTTGAATAAAATTTCTCACGTGTTCATCGGCAGAAAGTGATCATAGTTGTCCATTCTATATGATCTAGTCGTTTGTAACGTTTTTTCCAAGACAACCTTCATATCTGAAGAATACCTTGTTTGTTACCAGTCTTGTGTCAATCAGCACTTTTCGTAATTCAAGTACCTCCTTATTTGAAACAAAATTAGTGCAAATGATGCTTTGAACAGAGGTTTGCGTTCGCCTTCTTTTGCTACAACTCATGTTTTCAATCAAACGGACATCGGCCGTTAAAAATGGACTTAAAACCTCCGTTTCCATGCGTTAAGTTGATATATCAGTACAGTACAATAAACATTTTTCTTAATGCTGTTCTGCCTAAGTGACATAGAAAATTCAGAAAGTGGCGCAAAAAACACTCTGTCATTCAGAACAATCTAGACAAGTGAGCTGAGCCAAAAAAGACTGATTAATATTCCACATTTAAAGAAATATATATTTTCTTAACATGCATTTTTCTTATAAGTGTATGTTATTACGAAAAATATTGAAAGACACAGCCTCAAAAGTTCCGGAGTTGATGTGCAAAGATAATACACAGGCACTATTTAAAGCAAAGGTAGATATTCACTTACATGCATTTCTCTTTTAAGAAAGTAACATAACGAATAAAGGTTGACCACACGACCGGTCACCTAAATAACGGAATCAGTTGAAGAAAAATCTCCTCCTCTCCCTTCAGCCGCTTCACTTTATGTTACCTTACGACGTTGACAACCTTAACTTTGCAAACTAAATACCGCCAAACACACAGTTTCTGTGCATGTTCGTGTGTGTGTGTGTGTGTGTGTGAATCGCCCGTAAAAAGCGAAGTCACGTGGGCGGCAGCACAGAGGGCGACTCTTGAGCCGTGGAATGCGAGAGAGCCGTGGCAGTGTGGGCCGGAGCTTCTCCTGCTGCTAGCTGGCTGGCTGGCTGGGCGACTGCCAGTGCGGGTGGCAGCCGAGTTAAAACGCAGGCGCTGCCACTAATTTGCCCCAGACGAGGCGCTTTGTGGAGGGCTTAATTATTTCGCGGAGACTTTGCGTCTGTTGGGAGTGCATGGGAATATTTCAGGGAATTGTATCATGCTTTGTTGCACTTCTGAGGAAGCTGCTTAAAGAAGATTTTGCTCGTGAACTAGTTCTTCCTCATTTGTGAGCCAGGGAGCAGTAAAAGATGCAAATAAACTACCACCAATAACTGGGATCTGCTGCTGAGGATTTTCAATGTTTGGCCAACTGTGTTTTCATAGTAAAATTACAAATTTAATTATAGAAATCATTAAGCATCTTAAATAAACCGAAGAATAGGAATATTTTAAATTCTACAAATTTTAACAACAAAAATGTTCAACACTGTCATCAAACTTAGTCAAACCAATGAGATTATCTAAGACAAAATTATATCAAAATTAATTGAATGTACGAAACTTCAAAATTTCGTAACGATAAAGTGTTGTTTAGGGTTGCTCAAAACGCAGAAAATATCCGACATTGTAATTTAAGATTTAATTTGGGCTCTTAATTCAATCCCAAATACTTTTCAATTACAACTTTTGCTGACGACAAGCACGCACTATATCGATTAATCTTATTTTATTTATCTAGGGCTGCCGCTTCTAATCTGTTCATGACAGCGTATGTTGGAAAGATACATTTAATGTCGTTAAGAGTGACACGTCCTCAAGATAACTTCGAAAAAAAAGTGTGTTTGAAAATTAATCATTTGTTTTTATATGGAACTTTATACCAGTTTTCATATTGGTGTCTTGATTAGATTGTAAAATACAATTAGTAGGCTTTTCGTGCTCTAATGCACGTGTTATCCAGCTCACGTACCCTACGTTGCCCGGATATGTAATTATCACAATTATCTACGAGGATTATTGGGGACGGAAGGAGTTCAACGTACTTCGTTCCCTCCACATCCGGTCATTCTCTGGTCCTCACATCGTTCACCTCTGGCCTCACTTGGCGTGCCCTGCCGGCCCGATCGGCCTCGACTGCCCTCGACCAGCCTCGCTCGACCTTGCTCGGCTTCTGTCGATCTTATCCCCTATCCGGTGTGCCACGAGCAAAGCAAAACTCCTAGTGTCATCACTACGCTATTCCAAAATTATACAACTCGTTACTATGAATTATGTACTATTTGAAAGGGAAATTAATATTCACATTTTAAACGTTCGTGCCTAAATAATAGTGTCTGAAATTTTACGTTTTCCAGGAAAATGCAGTGTGAAACAGTAATTAACACGAGCTGCAAATTAACACAGGACAAGTGAACTACCATTGTTGTTTGTTTTCTCTTCTTGAATCCACTCGAATTCCGTAGACAGGTGCTCCCTTTCCGCTATTGGAACAAATAATCTTGATTTCGATCGAAAGGTCAGATACCGTAATTTACACCCGGACGCCTCATTTAACGCGTGAGCAGGCAGACGTCTGATGAGCAGTCGCTTTGCAAGCCCGGCGGAGAGCGGAGCGCAGAGGCACTGGCGCCGGCGAGGTGGAAGGGTGGGAGGCGGGGGCGGGGCGCCGCCGCAGCC